AGAGAGAGAGAGAGAGAGAGAGAGAGAGAGAGAGAGAGAGAGAGAGACATGGGCATATGCAAGTACACGAACCGAATCCCCAACGTACACACGCAACGATAACGATAGCGAAGGCGACAGCAAAACTATTTGAAGAAAACTGAAAAAAAAATTTGCGAACAATTCGTTTCGCTAGAAAAACGAATGGAAAAAGTAGTGAAAAAAACACGAAACAAATTAAAAATTTAAACTGCACCTAAACCAAAGAGCTAAACATACAAGCGTAAAAAAAAGCACGACACAAAGCAAAATGTGACGGCAGCAATAGCCACCGTCGCAACAGCAACAGCACCACCACCAACCACAACAACAATTATCCAACTCTTTTACTTACCTAGATTGTTTTCGATGGGTACTTTTTTGCGTGCTTTTGGCCTGTGCGCCTTTTGCTATCGCTTCGTCTCGTTCGGTGTGTTCTACACTTTTTATTTTCCCGGTTCTCTCAGTTTATTTATCGATGAATATGCGTATTTTCCCTTACAATTTGATGGATATTTCTCATTATTCACTGTACGATCCACAAATAAATTTGTCTATGAAGAGAGCGACAACAAATACGATCTGATTCTTTCGTTTACTTGCACACAACAAAAATGCAAACTAACGCAATTTTGACATTTGCTTTTACATCGAATACACATTTAGGTTAATTTCGTTGGTCATATGTCAGTGAGGAAGTAAGAGAACATTCAATTGCTGTTGTGATGCGCGTGATCACTGATCGATGAACTTATAAATGGTTGAAGTATATTAGTTTGCATTGTTTGATTCAATATCAAAACAAATATATACTGAATATAAAACAAATTTGCTACACAAAAAGTCAAAATAAATGAATTTACTCCTAAAATACGCTAGAAAAAACACAGGTTCTTTCCGTGTGCACATATCGTCGTCGTCGTCGTTGTCGCTGTCGAACGCATGCTTCAAATATGTGTGTGAGTGTGGACCGTGTGTTTTAGGCTGTGTAAGACGAAGCGATTGGTAAATGGCATTTGACAGAAACAGAAATACAACGTTCAGCTGTAATAAACGCTATTTAACAGAGAAAAAAACGTAATATGTATAGTATAATCGTGTCTATTTAACATATGACCTTCAGTTAAAAGCTAAGATTGTGTATGAGCGAGAAAAAAAAATATTATTAATAACAGCACCAACAATAACAATAAAAACCGTACGCTCACACACACACACTTAGTGAATTAATCAATGCAAAATATTTCCTGCTCATGAATATTTACGGCTGATGTTTTTCTCTTTCTCTTTCTCCCTTTTTCTTCTTCTTTGCTGTTGTATAGTCTCTCACTTACTCCCGCTCTCTCTCTCTCTCTCTCTCTCTTGCTAGCTCATACTCGCTCGCTCGTTCACTCTCACGCTCACGAGCACTGATTCTTTTCTTCACGTCTCTTTGTTGCAAATTATAAAAATTTCTACCTTCTATTCATTACATGTGTGCACACGTTGGTCGCTACTATCGCCAGATGAAATAGTGACGGCGATGAATATGAGTGACGGTGTGTTGTGTTTGGAATTCAATTGAATTTGATTCTGAGCGTGGCCAGTGTGGAATGCACACGGAGCTCCACAAATCGGTTTGTGATGAGAGATAGAAAAGGACAGGGCGAAAAGCAGCCAACGCAAACAAAATGTACACCACATCAATAACAATGTATAAGTTTGCTCTTTTTTTCTGTATGAAAAATGAAAATGTACACAATTATTTCAGTTTGAAATAATTGCATTAAAATTAAAATAGTAAAGGCTCGAAAAAATGCGCGCATTCAAACGCCATGATCGAATGGCGGCAATGTGCGCGCACCGAATCACCGCACACACACACACACACAGAACGTTTTGTGTGCGAGAGATCAACATAAATCGCGGCAATGTGAAAATGAGTGCATTTGATTAATTTGCTTGTATAAAATTATTAGTTTGTGTTACTAGACACCGTTTAATTGCATACCCATATTTATTCATTTATTTTAATTTTCTTTCCTCTCTGGTCGTAGTTTCGTTCAGTCCGTTTGCCGCCACACGATCAATACATAAATGCATTCGATTTATTTTATTTTTTTTGCCACTGTCATTTTCGGATCGATTCAATTGCCCAACTCTAATTATTTCAATGATTCAATTAACATTTGCCGCCAAATAAGTGCATGCACTGCACAACGCCAAGATGATTTGCTCATTTTATGTCCGCATACATTTGTTTTTTTTTTTTTTTCAGCTGAGCAACGTTTAGCCACCGTCATTCGACAATTTATTAATCGGTTTTAATAACCATGGGAATTTTACAAAATGAATGCGATCATAATATTCGGGAACAATCTTGCCGTAGAATATTTCAACATGGCAATTTTTTTGTCTGTATCCTCTTCTTCCACAATCTCTCTCGCTCACTCTCTGCACTGCTGCTCTCTTGGAATGATGTGCACACGTCAAGAAAAAAAATAACAAAAGGTGATTAGAATTGGTTTTAATGACGCCACAATAACGAGCGTTAAACTATTTCTGTTCATCTGATAATGAATGCGTGCGAGTTTTTTTTTCGCTGCAATAAATTCTGACGGTCAAGTTTGCTCAACGTCTCAACTCGCGCTGCCAGCCCGTCACATCTACGACGAACATTGTATGAGATGATCGCAAAGACTTGGGTCTCTCTTCTTGTCTTTCTGTATTGAAAAAAATTCACCTCTAATTTTGACGAAAATTTTATTCCACTATTTCCCGCGTCGAGTGGCTCGTCCCGCCGTTGCCGCCATCACAGTCATTTTGGCCATTCGACGTGAAGCCATGTAGAACAACCAACACAATACGTCGTCCAATTATAAAGTTCTATGTCCGTGCTTATCTAAACCATTTTGTAAAATTTGACATTAACTAATATTTTAATATTCTATGAAAGTATTTTAAAAGAGAGAGAGAGAGAGAGATCGCCCTGGGTTTTGTCGAGAGAGAAAATTTATGTAGATTATTAACATTCTTTGTGGATTTAATTAAGAAAATAACATTTTGTTTTTTTGCACTTATCATTTGCTATGGCTATATTTTAATTGTTTTGTAAAGACGACGATGTCGACATCAAGTCATAACCAGAAGCTGGGAATCTTCAGTCGACCTTTCCATTTGGATCCAAGAAACTCGGTTGTGTTTTATGCCCAAGATTTCAGAGATCATAGTTTAGATTTATCGATGCATTCAGGTAGCGAATGGGCCGAAGAAGAACGACAGATCTAGCTTGAAGATGATGTAGCGAATGGAATTGTTCGTTAACCGTACCACTCGTAATTTCAAGTATGTGAATGTTCTTGTCAATAATATAAACAATGGCCAAATGTTATATCATACATTAAGCTGTTATCGTGTACAAAATGAATTTTAATATGCTATAAAAAATGGTTGTTTGGCAAATTGTTTCGAGCGTGGCGCTTGACACCGTCGACTACGACGGCGATTACGATGGGCCAGGGCATGGCCATAAATTTTTCGCATATGCATTTTCTATTTCAATTGCGATCATTATCATTGTCAAGCACATGAGCACAAGTGAGGGCAATTGTTATCTCATTTAAATTGTGTGATGAATGGCTTGGTTTCATGGTGTTTTCCATTCGTTCGTTCGCTCGCTCTGTTCCACTGAATTTTTGTGCTAAATATAGGTTAATGTGATAATTGATAACAATATAATTAGATTCAATATATGCAACAATGTGAAATGCAGCCAAAGCGAGACCGTCGAACGAATTATTTCATCTCAGCCCAAGAATGATGCGTGAAAATTGGTACGTGTGTATGTGATTAGGGGAGTGCGATAGAACGGAGTAAAAACCTAAATAGAAATCAACACAGTGACTGCGGCAAGGAGCGAACAGAGGCCACGCAAAGACAGGCAATTCGGCGGCACAGTCAAAGGGTTGCTATTTGCCATGAAACAAAAACCATGTAACGATGTTCATCCCAACGCTATTTAATTATGCATATAGACTGTGCAATGTGCTTGTGAACACATGATGCAATGAAGCACCAATGAGGGAGTCAGGTAATAATAATTCATGTCTTATCAGCTTCTCAGTTGTTTTTGGTTTTCATTTTCTATTTCGTAGTCAGTTTTTTTTTCTCTACTGTTGCTACTGCCGTTCTACTAGACAATCGGCGTTATACACACTCACTCTCTATCTCTCACTCACTCACTCCGGATCTCATGAGCCACCACCGTCTACACCTTTTTCGATTCGTTTTTGGCGACAAAACGACGAGAACGAACGGGTAAGCAAACCGGAGAGATAGTATTTATATATTTATTGCGTCGTTTGTGTATTTTAATATAATATTTTCGTTAGTTATGCAGGCTGTTTTCGGGTGTGCGTTTGCTAGAGAGAGTGTGAGTTTCTCTGTGTGCGTATATCGTCGTCCGTGTGTTTGGAGAGTGACTGCCTCGTTGTTTCTGTATCATTTCGTGTGTATTTTTTTGATAAAGCGAATAATGCGCATAGTTTTCACAAATGAATGTTTCATTTTGAACATGGTTTTCTTGCGGGCTGATAGATAAAATTATTGCATGACTGATAAAAAATGAATAAGTTTCGCTGTTTTGTTTCGTCTTCTCTTTTGTGTGTGTGTGTGTGTGGAATAATCGGAACCGTGGCTCCATAATACGTATACGACCGTAGTTGTACACAGCGACGAAACGCACAAAGTTTTTGTGAGCATGAAATTGTCAAAACGAGCGAACGCCCGCGCGCAAAACGGTAATGGCAATAACAAAAGGCAATGACAAACATTATAATGAATTGATTCGAGCCGTCAGATAATGAAGTTCATTGAAAATTTTATTACTTTAATTGATAAAACTAATGAAATTGCTCGCTGCCGATGTTCGGGATTCAGGGTAAATGGGTTTTTTCGCGACCAATTTTTGCCGGTGGAAAAAGTGTTTTCTGTTATCATCATCATGTATTGTTGTCACAAAAGAGGGTGCTCATTTCTTTTGTAAAATGATGTTCAATTGTTCATTTGAATCGTTGTTCGTTTTCCTTTGGCGCCATTATGCGTACAATACACTTTCCGATTCTTCCAAAATAATAATTGCTATTCGATTCAAGAATAGAAGAAAAAGAGGAAGATTCGCGATATGACACACACACACACACACGACGACACCATCTATTAGACTACTCCACTCCGGATGTGTTCAAATTTAAAGTAGATGTTACGCAAACCCACTTTTATTGAATATATTTCGAGTGTTTCTTGTTACAATTTGTCCTGTGCACGTAACGAACAACAGCAGCAGCAACAGAAAAAAAAAACGATGTTTATTTTAAGTTCTTCTGGGATTTGAATGGAAAAGTTCAAAAAGAGCATATGAAATGTCGATCGTTCCAATGGGCGCTACAACATCTTATTAAGCTGAACCCTCCGTCAGAGATGCGGATGATGCACCACAATATGGTGCAAGCATCAAAGTCTAACCATCATTCGCACCAAAAAAAAAAGAAAAGAAGAAGAAGCAAAATCCATTTACGATCACCACTTTAGTGTGACACACCATTGCTGGCTGGGTGGAGGAGAAGTGAGTGCGTTTGCAAACGCAGCGAATTTCGTTCATTTTCACTTTTAATTTTAAAGCGTTCATCCCGTTCAAAGGGTAGATAACGATTCATTACACATGAATCCCTTGAGGGTGTTTTTGCGCCGCTCAAACGAACTTAACAATTTCACTACACAAAAGCAGGGTGTTAAACCCGGTACAAACACACACACACACACACATTATTCGAATGAAACGAAGAAAATGATTATGACGACGGCGAACAG